TCCCTCTCTCCTCCTCCCTCCTTCCTCCTTCCCCTCGAACTCCTCCGTTCGTTTGTTAGGGAATCAAAATTGTCATTTTTTCCCATTTTTTCCCTCCTCCTCCTTTTTTCTCCTCTCCGTTTGTTCCCTACTACCACACATGGCATCCTTTTAAATTTCTTTTTTTTTTTTTTTTATTAAAGTTAAAACCGCAGAATTGAATGTTTTACGTTTACTACATCCATTTCTAAATATGTAATAATACTAATAATAATAACAACGGTTAACTAAAATAATAATAATAATAATAATATCAATTTCTCAAAAACGTTAAACTCCTAAACGGATTTCAAAGGAAGAGTAGTAGTAGTAGTTTTCATCATTATTATTTTATTAATATCATCTTTCCTTTTTCCCCTCCTTTCACACCATATCAATCCCTTCCTTAAATATTATCATCATTATTTAAATAAAATAAATCCGCTATTATTTGTCGTGCAAAAAAAAACAAAAAACGTGGTTGTAGAAGTCGCGAAAATTCGACGACCATCGCGTTCGACCTCACGAAAATTTATTTATTTCGCATCATTTAAATATTATCATTATTATTATCATCATTATCACTACATAAACGCGACACGATCGATCTTTTTTTTATAAAAACAAAAAGAAATTTTTTGAAATTTAACACGGGAAAGAACCCCGAAACAACCGGGGAAAAAAAAAATTTTGAAGACACGTTCCTTAACGACGCGCCAGATGTCATTTAATTAATTTCATTTCTCTTTCATTAAATTATATTTAAAAAAAAAAAAAAAAACAAAAAAAACAAAAAAAAAAAACAAAAAGAAACATTTAACGATTTATCGATTTTTACGTAATAATAATAATAATAATAATAATAATAATAATAATAATAATAATAATAATGGATTCAAATACAAAATATAATATTCATTCGAATGAACTTTAATTAAAATTAAAATTAGAAAAAAAAAAAAAAAAAACGTACGAAATAATAATAATTTTTTAAAAATTTAATATTCCAAAACGTAAAATAATTTAAAATGGCGTCGGCGGCATTTACGAGATTATTTTTTTTAAAAAAAATTGAAAAAATTAAATTACGTAAAAACGTTTCCCCTACCCCTACCCTCCCCCCCCGGATAATTGGCAAAATTCACCGCAAAACTATTTTTTTTTTTTTTTGGGGGGTTTTTTTTGGGTTTTTTGTATCCTAAACATTAATGGCGGATGAAATAAATGAATAATATCATAATTCATCATCTTTGTTCTCATTATTATCATTATTATTATTATTTCATACGCTTCGGTTTATAAATCGATAAATAATTTTTATTTTCCGTTTGATTTAATTTTTATTTTTTCGTCGACAAACCATCCAAAATGGCGCAATCATAACAGAGAGAGAGAGATGATGGTATAGAGTAACGCAGGCGGCGGAGGGTACGTAATAAAATTTTCAGGTACAAAAAAAAAAAAAACAACTTTTTTTTTTTTTTTTCTTCTGCTCCTTGTATATAAATAACTAAATACAAAGCAAATGCATTAAAAATATGACTCCGCGTAATAAAAAAGATTTATATTTTATATATCTACTTTTAACGGTTTCGCATAATAAAAGTCCGAAACGTTTTATTAAATATTTATAATTTCCATGGATTTATGAAAACATAAAAAAAATTCATTAAAAAAAAGAAAAAAACGAAAAAAATTTTTTTCATTGTTACATGAAAGATTGCGAATTTACAACGGAGAGGAGTGAAAAAAAAAAAAATTGGGGGGGAGAGAGAGAGAGAAGGGGGGGAGGTAAAGAATGAAAACACAGTGTTCGAACGTGTACGAATTTTCCATCAGAAAAAACTCATGACAAACATTTAAGCGAAAATATTATACTGATATCGTTTTGTCAGACGAGAAATCGGAAAAATCGATAAATCGATCGATCGATATATCGAAATCCAAAAACAAAACAAACAAACAAACGACAAAATATATAAGAGTAATAATACAAGTAAGGGTGATTATTTTTTTTTTTTGTTTGTTATTTTATTTCTTCGGCGTCGGAAAACATTTTGTGTAAAAAAAAAAAAGATAGAAAGAAAGAAAGAAAATCAGGCTGCCAACGTGAGAGAAATTTTAAAAAAAAAAAAAAAAAAAAAATCTAAAACTATCATCGCGTCACGATGCCACGGTTATGAATAAGTAATCGAGTCTCCGGTCTAAAACTTATCATCCCAATATAAGAAAAGGTTAAATAATCCGATTACATAAAACGTCTCTTAAGTGAAAGCATCTTCATGTTCTTCCCTGTGAAAACATCCAACCGCCACATTTAACATTAATAACACCTTAAACTAAACCCGAGTGAGTTAAGTGATCACTCCGGTCTTGACTTGTCTGGAGAAAAATTAAACCAATCAAATTGAAACGCGGGCGTGGTCAAATCCCATTTTCTCATTTTTCATTGGTTGAAATTTTTTTTTTTCTTGTATTGGTGTAAACACGTTCGAACTCGAAAATGAAAAATGAAAATTTAAATGGTTACACTAAATGAGATTTTTTTTTTTTTACTACGAATCGGTATTTTTATGTGAAAATACATTTTCCCCCCATTTTATGACATTTAAAAAACAAAAAAAAAAATTTAAACGCGTTTTAATTGTTATTAAAGAAACCAAAAAAACGATTTTTCAACGACATTTTATCACTAAATTTCCGATAAGAAAAAACCTTTTTTTTCTCTCTCTTACGAATACCCCCTATTTTCCAAAAAAATTAAACGAATTACAATCATAATGATATTATAGAAAAAAGCAAAGAAATTTATCCATAATATATTAAATAATACAAAAAAAAAAAAAAAAAAAACATGGAGGGTTTTGCCGGTATGCAATTACACGAATTTCCCGCCTTTAACTTCTGTTTTATAATAGAAAATTTTTTAAATCCGTATCAAAGTGCAGAAAAAAAAAACCGTTCGAGTCGAATGAAAAACACGGGCGCAACAATCTTTTCAACTTTCGAGTAACAATTACTGGATACGGATTATTAAAAAAACCATTTCTCACATAAGTTTAACACGCGCGACAATAGTCATCCATCATTTATTTATTTTTTATTTTTTATTGTTTTTTTTTGTTTTTTTTTTTCTCCATTATATCGAAAGTCATTCGTTTGTATGCAATCTGGCCATGATTCCATGAAGTGGAAACAAAATACTTAATCGTGGACAAACGTTTAAAATCTCAATTTGTATTTGTAGTTACCGTTTTCGGATCGGATTTTTCTTTTTTTTTTTTCAATTGTTTGTTTGTTTGTTCGTTTGTTTGTTTTTGAAAATACATTTTCCAAAGTGCGTCCGTTTGTGTGTTCTTAACCCTTAATTCGTTTGATTTACAACAAACTAAATAATTTTTTTCGCGTACATCCGATTGCTCCAAAGAGCGCATATTCGTGTCATTCTCTGGATAATAAAAACACAAATCCTGGAATAGTTTTTTACCGACCCGAGAAAAGAAGAATGAATTCGCCGTTTCCGTCGGCTTGCTTAACTTTGTGTCATCAAATTATTATTATTATGTGTTTTTAAAAAAAAAATCTTTTGCTGTTGTTAAAATTTTCCAATTTTTCTTTATTTTTCCGGGAAAAAAAAATTATTTCGCGAGTGTATCCGAGTGATTGATCGATTCATTGATCGATTGATTGATTTTACAAAGTAAATTTTTTCGTCATCATGTTATCAACCGGATAATAAAATCATTCATTTATTTATTTTATGTAAGTAATAATTTTTATAATTATTATCGTTCACTTGCTGACGCAGTTTTCATCCATCAAAACAATTTTTTTTTTATCAAATCAATGTGATAATTCTTATCGGTCGTTATTTTTCTATCGACGTGAAAATCACAATTTTACATTTTGTTAATCGGACATAAATTCTCACGTCAAAAAGTTAAGAAAAAAAGGAAAACCGTTAAAAGCCGTTCCAGGAGTTAGTGAAAGTATTATATACCCACATTTATCGTCAAAATAAACGACAAACGACAACAATAACGACATTAATAAATTTAAAAAAAGAGAGAGAGAGAGAGAGAATAATTAAAAAATCCGAGTTTCTTTTCTTTTTGACCTGGAAAAATTTAATTACAACAATAAATATTTAAAACGAAACCGTTTTTTTCTCTCTCTCTCTCTTTTTTTTTTTACAATTAATCATCAACCGAATTACATAAATATCTCTCTAATAATGATAATGATAATAATAATAATGATAATGATAAATGAAAAAAGTATTTTTGATTACGTAATACTTTAAGAGAAAATTGTTGTTACAAACACAAAATGATAAAACATTTAAAAAAATTTTTTTTTTTTATTCTTCCAATAAATGATAATAAAAATCATTTTATTAATTTCACCTTATGTACATAATGTACATAACAACAATAACTTTATTGGAAAAAAAAAAAAAAAATTTTTTTTGTTTAATTTTCTCTTTTTTTTTTTTCGGGTCGAATTTAACCGATAATATTATCGGTATTTATTTCATTATTATTATTGTTATTAATATTTTCCTTTAATTAAACCTTGATGATGATGATGATGATAATAATAATAATAATAATATAAAAATAACACCAGACGCTTGATCCTCCGTCACTTATTAATTATTAAACCCGCTTACACTTGTATGCATATATATATAATCCGTCTTAATTAACAAAATGATAAAATTTTATTTATTAAAACAATTAAATTACGTTAAATTTTAATTATTTTTCCCGTTAATTAATAATTAAATTTACATTATTATTATTATTATTATTATCGTTTGAAAAATTACTTTCGTGTAATTTAACTATTTTTTTTTTTTTTTTTTTTTTTAAATAAGTTTCAGGAGTGTGGAAAAATTAAATAAATAAATAAATAAATAATGAATATTAAGCCGACGATAAAAAAACAGTGAAAATAATAATAATAATAATAAGATAAAAATGGGAACGGCTTGCAAAAACGCAGGAAATTTAGATGCTTCCGACGAGGATGATCTCGAAATAAACGTCGACGACGATTCGCGTTGCGGAAGCGATGTCGAGAGTGCAAACGGACTGGAAAAAATTCACGGTTCCGTTGAAAAACATTTCGGGTACTACCGGAACGATAGGAAATTTATAAAAAACAACTGTGATATTAACGGTTACGTTTCCGATCACAACAGAAACAAAACGACGAAAACGATAAATAATAAATCGGTGTCGGACGACGACGACGACGACGACGACGAAAACGAAAAACGTTACGATAAAATCCGACGTCACTACAACAAACAAGCGGAAAACATAATTCGGGGTTACAACGGTGAAAATAATAATAATAATAATAATTTTCAAAGGGCGCGTAATTGCGGAAATGGTAAAACGGAATCGAACAGTGACGAAAATCAAAGTGAATACGAGGACGTAGGTTCGCGTTCGAATTCGCCAAAAACATACATTCCCAGTTTGATGAGGGATAAATCGAACGAAAGGAGTGAGTCTAGTTCGCCGTTGGAAACGTCGACCGCGAGTAGTGCAGTGTTACCATTCAGCATTTCGAGGTTGCTCAGCCGTGAGAAAAGACACTCGGAAGATGACGATAGGCATTCGGATAGGAGTACTCCGAGTCCTAAAAAATCACTCGCGGACGAAAACAACAGGACCGCAGAAGGTTTCGACGATTCCGCTCTCGGTCTTTATCCTCATCCTGCCATCGTTCAATTTGCTGCCGGAGGTTTGAACGCGGCTTCGACTCGCATGCCGGGTTTCCTATACAACACGTCGGCTGGAGTCATACGGGTTCCCGCACACAGGCCTCCGGTTCCGGGTGGTATATCCGCACCGCCGGGTGCATCCACGATACCCGTTATGGGATCTCCTTTTCCCTGGCTCGCCGCCATGGATCCTTCTTTTCAAAGGAGTGCCGCAGCTGCGTTTGCGTCGCAAGTTGTTAAAGAACGTTTATCCGGTAAGTTTTTCAACTTTTTAATTTTTTAAAATTATTTTTCCACGTGTCGAATCCGACGAACAAAAAATTTCGCGACGTTTTTTTTTTTCTTTCCCGGCGACAATTTTCCCCAAAAAAAAAAAAAAAATTCATCTCCGGCAAAATAAAAAAGCTATTAATATATACAGGGAAAAAAAAAGTGAAAAAAAAAAAAAAACCGAAAAAGCTTTTTACTCGTTTGCCCGTATTTTCCATTTTTTTTTTTTTTTTTTTTTTCCTTTAGATAAATGGAAACGTTTACATTAACGTGACAGAAATTAACAATGTTAAAAGCATTTGAATTAATAATGGATTTAAATGCAGATGAGAAAAAGTTGCGACAAAATTTTTCTTAGTCTAATGGCCGACCGACGACGACCGGTTGGAAGAATTATTGAAATCGACACACGTTGATTTTTTTTTTTTTTTTAATACGTCTTCTGCTTTTTTTTACGTGATTCTGATTTTCCCTTCTGGTTTTTAATTCTATAACGACTCTTAATGAATGTATTTTGCTTTTTCTGCCATTTTCTTTTAACCCCTATTCGAATTGTTTTCATACGAAATTTTTTCTATTTTCCGGGGAGGGGGAGGGAGTTTCGTTGTCCGTTCGTCGTCTCCCCTCACATTTTGTACGTTTTTACCGACAATTTTCGAAAAACGATGGTTTTCTAAATGTTGCATACATATATATTTTTTTAATTTTTTAAAAATTAATCGATTAACTTTTACATCGCGTCTGCACTAAATCGATCAATCGATCAATCGTTGATTTATCGAACGATCGCGTCGGTTTTTTTTTTTTTTTCAAAATGCAAAATCATCCAAATTTTTCAACAGGAGTCGACGATGCCTCGACACCATATATATATATATATATATATATATATATATATATATATATATATATATATATATATTCAATTTTTCTCTCAAAAGATATCGTTTAAAGGGATGGAACAACCAAACCCCCTTGGTTACCGCCCTTTTTTTTTTTTTAAACTAAATTTTCTTCTTTTTTTTCTCTCTCCCCCCCATATTTTGACATAACAACACTTCCTACCTAAACTAAACCTTTTATTTAAATTTTTTTTTTTTTCTCGCCTCCCTCCGGATGATGATGATGCTTTGAAAAAATACTTGTTTTTTTTTTTTTTTTTTTGTTTTCTACGGTCTATCTATCTCTCTCTCTCTCTCTCTCTCTCTCTCTCTCACACTTTTTTAACTCCTTAATTTTTTTTTCCATTAGGTTAAACTACTTACTTTATTGATGTGTTAAAACGAATAAAAAAAAAAAAAGTTAAATAAACCTTGTGACAATAACTTCTTTTCGTTTTAGTACACGTATTTTTCGTTTTTAAATCCTGTTTTTAAAATCTACACGCGAGATTATGGATATATATATAAAAAAAGTACCTGTAGTATGACATAATGGATGGTTTAAAATGACATGTCTGCCCGAAGGAAGAACCTTATTAACAAATCTTTACGTACCTCTCATTTCTCTCTCTCTCTCTCTCTCTCTCTCTCAAAAAAAAGAAAAAAAAAAAAAAAAGACTTACCATAAATTTTTTTTCCGTTTCGTTTCGTTATTGTTTCCAATTTTGTTCATCAGTGGCGTATTTAATTTTTTTTTTTTTTAATCTCTTCATTTCAATTTGTTTTTCTTTCCTGCAAACAAATTATAAAATAAAAAAAAAGAATAATAATAATAATAATAACAAAATTCATTCGTAAATTTCATTTAGCGTTTTTTTTTTTTTAAGTAAAACCTCAAAAAAATAAATTTTCTCACGATTAACTTAAAAAAAAAAAAAAAACAAAAATTGCAAAGGTGCGTTTAATTTAAAAAAGAATATTGAACGAGGAAAAGGTCAGATTAATATTAAAAAACTTCAAGGTTTACCCAAAATAATAAAAGTTAAATGGCCTCGCACGAAATTCTCATCGGTGCGTCGGGAAGGATTGGGACCCCTGTGGAAAGAAAGAAGGGCCCTCCTTTTCTCCATTCCCTCCCTCCCTCTCCCCATCTATGTGAGTGTCCGGAGAAAGCATCGAGCCACCACCCATTGTTAAGAGAGAGAGAGAGAGAGAAGAGAGAATAAAAAAAGGGTCAAATACAATAATTTCTGGGCTAACGAAAAAAGGTTAAACCAACAACCCTGAAGAACCATGAATGTTTTATAAGAGTCCTGGTGGGGATAAATGGAGAAAGGTTGGCTGGCTGGCGGTTTTCGACCTTTTTTTTTTTTTCTTTTCTTTTTACGAGGGGAAAACGGTTGAGAAAAAGTTACCGGAAGGATTTTCCACTGTAACAAAAAGACCGCCGTTTGTTATATTGATGTCTTGGGATTCTCTTCTCCCCCATCTGTCCTTCGTTCCTCTCTTCTCCCCCCCCCCAAAAAAAAAAAAAAAAATTTCAACTTAACCAAATGAAAATTTTAAATTTTATTTAAATTTAAAATAAAATTTAATTCTCCCTTTTTTTCCTTTTTTTTTTTTGGGAAACTACGAGAAGAAAAACTGGGAAAATGAAAATTTTGACGACAAACTAAAAAAACTAAATTAAAAAAACAAATTACGATAATAATAATAATAATAATAATAATAATAATAATAATAATAATAATAATAATAATAATAATAATAATAATAATAATAATAATAATAATAATAATAATAATAATAATACAGAAAATTTAATCGAAATCAAAAACTCGAAAGCATAAATTTTAATAATGAGTTTGAGCGAATTCGTTTGAAATTTCTCATGTTGGCATTATTGAAGACACAGGCGCCATGTTCGATTAATCGATTAATCGATTAATTAAATGATTAATTTAAAAAAAAAAAAAAAATTTTTAAATATTCTTCGAGATCGAAGAAAAAGAGAAAAAATGAATTTAAAATGGAGGATTTTTACGTTTCATTTTTAAAAATCGATTCATTTGAAAAAAGAAAAAAAAAAAAGATTTTACGTAATGGATCCTAATAATTGTACGGTGAAAATAAATTGAAGATGCAAACAGGAAGTGGGTGACTCGAGCCTTGTAATTTTATCGTATAAAAACTAAAACCAAACCAAAAAAAAAAAAAAAAAAGTGACAAACAGGTAAAGACGACTTAAATCCTGGCGCCAACCTGATAAAACTAACAAAAAATACTTTTTTTAAGGTCAGGTATGACTATTTGTTTCATCATTTTTATTGATTGACTATTGTTTCAATGGAAAAAAATAATAAAAAAAAATTCCAGACGGTTCTCTGACTAACAACAACTTATGTGCACTTAAGATAACCCGGAAAAAAAAAAAAAATACTACAAAATTTGTTTGTTTTTATTCATATTTTTATCTTTAGGATAATTGGTCGGTCCGTTGGAAAAACTGAATGGTGTGTCTCTGTCTCTCTCTCTCTCTCTATTTCTTTCCAACAACCCGTAATTACAGATCTCAATGAATTTTTTTTTTTGCGGATCTTTGGTGGCTGGCATGACACTTGATTAACGAGTGGAGTGTGTGTGTGTGCCACCAATGTTGAAAATATTTATTACGACGCCCTTTTTTTTTTTTCCGCCATTGATAAAATCTCTACTCGATTCTTTACGCTTTTTTCATACCAAGATGATCAGGATCGTAGTCGTACCTGTCGTATATCACCTTGATATAATTTTTTTTTAAAAAAAAACTCGATGGCTTCCGTTCATCTTTTTAAATATGTAAAATACGAATATGTAATAATCTTTTAAACTCGCACATCTACTTAAAAGAGAGAAATAGAGAGAGAGAGAGAGAGAGGGGGGGGGAGGGGGTACCATTATACCTCACACAAAAAAAAAACAAAATTTTTTTTTTTTAAACTTTTCTTGGAAAGTAAAATCATTGTGGTCTCATTAGCTAATACTTATTATATATATATAACAAGCCATTTGCACGCAACCAAAAATGATTTTTTTCTTCTTCTTATTTCCATTCGTATGTGAACTTTATTAAGATTATAGGTCTAGGACAAGATAAAAACGATTTTTGTTTCACCTGGAAAAGAAGAAGAATAATAATGATAATAATAATAGGAAATTTTAAAAGGTAATAGTTGGTAAAATCGAAATAATCGAGTATTTTTTTTAAAATTCTAATTAAATTTTAATATTTCCAAGAGGAGGAATTTTTTTTTTTTTTTTCAAATTCGTTCTTCAAAACAACAACAACAACAACAAGAACAACAATTTTAAAAAGGCTGTTTGTAGTGTACAAACACACACACACACACGATCAAATAATTATTTTTTTTTTGGGCGGATCAAATTTCAACTCCCTAAATAATTTATATATCGTTTAACGAGATTAATTACGACAATTTTTTTTTCCCCCTTGTTACTTCGTGTCGTTCTAGAAAATTTAAAAATTTAAATAAATGAAATAAATAATCCGTACACAAACGCTAAAGAAAAACAACAAATTTCAGCGACAAAATCGATTTAAACAAAAACAAACACACAATTTCTTTAAGGATCGTAATAATAATAATAATAACAATAACAACAAAGTTAAATATTTAAAAAAAGACTAAACCATTTCCGGTATGAATGTTAAAAGTCTAATAAATGTAAAAATAAAAATAAAAATGAAGGGTGAAATGAAGATGAAGATGAAGAAGAAAAAGGAAAAGAAAAAAATTTAGTGAAGAAAAAAAAAAAAGCTCTCGTCAAAAATGC